CTCGATTTGATTACACTGCTTGTATACGTTGTTATCCTTATCTTACGATTGATAACATGGGCCGAAGACCGCCCAGTTTCTAGGAACCGCTTKTTGGCAGTTTCAGGGTACTTTTATGGCCTCRAYACCATGTTCCTCACTMTCAGAGTATTTGGTCACATCATGGAATCTAAAAAGTACACAGGGTCAATCCAAATTGCTCTCTTTCAAATCATTGGTGCTGTAGTGGCAATCTTTGGACAGTTTCTCGCAGCAGTACTGGCGTTTTCTCTTGTCATAACCAAAGTGTACGTGGCAGAAATGTCTTACACCACTGGAACAAACTCTACTTCACATGGGTTCGTAAGCACGAATTATGATATTAAGATCATGACCATGTTAGATCATCTGAAGGCCCGTTTACAATTGCAATCTTTGAAGCGCGATTGTCGCGCGACAATCGCTTGAGTTTCGAACATGCTTGMAATTTATTTGCARCTCGCGGCGAATTTTGATCGCCGCGACAATCGCAGGGCTGTTTGCAAGAGGTGTGCGAAAACAAAATGGCGGTTGTCGCGCGGCAATCGCGCTGCAAAATCGCAAGTGTAAATGGGCCTTGATACATCACACTGGCGAGCTTCGAGTATATTACGAACGCGGGTATATTATTTGGTTTATGGCATTGTCGTTTTAAGACCTTTAGTATATGTGTACATTACCTTGGACATGTTAAATATGCCTTACATTTGAAAATACAACTTCTGCTCGTCAATCCAACACTTCTTTAAAGGATAACGAATTACACTCCTAGCACGTATTGTTGATATTCATATTTTTTAAGTGCTTTGGTTAAGATCACGTTTTTCCTCTTTTCAGGTTCTGTGAAAACCGAAAGGGTGGTATAGCTTGGTGAGTGGAATTTTATTGAACACAGTAATAAAAATAATTAAACAATGAAAAATAAACAATAAAAACATATTCAGCCTCTGATTGAGGTACGTACAAATGCGGATACGCAAATGTTTTCTGTGGTATTTACACTTTTTTAGACCACATTTGCATAATATATCCAGTATCCTCAGTTTTCTAAGTTAGCCGTTTTTACAGTGAGGGTGATCAATCCCTTGTTTGCACAATGAACCAACTAAGGAGGAAAAATGCCTCCAAACTATGGTTGTCTGTTATTCTTACCTGCTAATTTAGGTTTCCCATCAACTCAGTTTCTTTGTTATTTTTTATGGTGAAGTTGGTGGAGCTCTGCAACACATCTCCTGTGGTCTCTTCTCGGCATTGCGGAGCTGGACCCTCTCCAGTCAACCGATGGCCCATCTAATGTGCTTGCTAAATTACTGTATGGTGCATTCCTAATAATGGCTGTAGTAATGATGATGAACATGATGATAGCTCTACTCTCAAACACATACCAAAAAGTTGAGGTAAAGGAATATTTGTCCTTTAAAAAAACATGTCAGTAAAAATCCTTTAAAAAAACATGTCAGTAAAAAGAATGTTTGTATTCAAAGAATCAGTTGAAAAAAACTACAAAACTAAAAAAAAGTATTATTGCGATACATTTAATGAGGGATTTAATACTTATTTCAGGATAATGCATTTTATGAATGGTCGTACAGGAAAGCAACAACAATAAGGACCTATGTTAACTATCATCCTGTCCCTGTAC